TCTAAACGACTGGCCTGACCAAACAAGCAGAAATAAACCTTACTGTTGATGTTGTGATATCACAAACAATGTCAGGTCATTTTCCTTCGATTTCCTCTGTCATATACTGTAGGCTTTTCCCAACTTCCAGGGTTTATATCCAAGCTTTCTCCCTCCACTACCAAGCCTAAAAAGCCATCGGACTTCCTCTCCTCACTTCCTTTCTAGATCTCATCTGAGATGTTAAATGCTGTCAAAATGGCATTTTTCATGTACCTTCAGCTCCAATCTTGCCATCACCATCACTGTCACCAGCAGACAGGAAGGCCTTGGTCTCGTTGTCGGTCAGAGCCCTGGCACCGTCCTTGAAGTTCTGCAGGAACAGCCTACAGGAAGAGCACAGGCCTGTTATTAACCCTGCGACCGCCGCTGTTTTACAATGATTTCTTATGATTCTCACTTCAGCTCATCCTCCTCAATGAAGCCGCTGTTGTCCTGGTCAATGATGCCGAAAGCCTTCTTGACGTCATCAGAGGACTTGGCGGACAGGCCAACCTTGGCGAAGAAAGCCTTGTGGCTGAAGGAGTCAGCAGCTGGTTTGGGATAGAAACATGCCAGTATTTCATTTGATCAAATGATGTTGCGACGCTCACGAGAACGGCTGTGTCCAGCACTTTTTACACTATTCCTTTAAGTGTAGCTACACCAGTCAAAAGGTTCGCACACACTTATCTTATTTTTAGTTTTCACTTTTTAGAAGCAATCTAAAGTCAGTGATCAAAAATACAGAAATATTATGTAAGAAGTGTGTTGACCAAAAAGTGGTAACCTGCCATTGTTACCTCAGAGAGCTATTTCTACCTGATTTCATCTATGAACGTATATCAACGAATGTAGAAATGAATGTTTTTTGGTTGATTTGGCAACGTTTTTTTTTTTACTTGGATGAAACCAGTCAATTTAGATGTTACCGTTTTAGGTTACCATTTTATAAATAGCATTAAGGGAGTTCCTGTGTAATTTAATATTTAGTCCATTTATTAAAAATGTAGTATTTTATTACATTTGAAATATTTATTAAAATGTTTACTTTTTTTTTTAAGAAACTCAATTTCTACAAAAACAAATGTCAAGCATTTAAGCAGAAGTCTTTGGATTATGTTTCGAAATACCCCAAATATAATATAATATAATTAATATAATAATATATACAATTATAAATGAGTTCCCTTGTATGCTGGCCACATGTTTCTGTCAATACTGTCCAATTCATTTATTAAAATATATTATATTTATTAAAATGTCATTTTATTATGTGGTTTTTGAAAGAAAAATACAAAATAAATTTTAACAATTTAAGCAGAAAGAACCTTTAGATCATGTTTACAAATACCTGAAATGTTAGATTATAATATAATATAATATAATGTAATGTAATGTAATATAATGTAAAGTAATATCATATCATATCATATCATCATATATCATATAATATAATATAATGTAAAGTAATATAATGTAATGTAATATAATATAATTAATATCATATCATAATATAATGTAATATAATATCATATCATATATCATATCATCATATATCATTCATATCATAATATAATATCATATCATATCATGTAATATAATGTAATGTAATATAATATAATATAATTAATATCATATCAATATAATATAATAGCAAAATTACTTTCTTTAGTGCTATACGTTAGAAATCTTTCAGAAATGTATGCATTTCATTATACATCTTAAACATTTTTTTTTATTAGTCTGAGTCCATGTTTATTCATGTATATGAAATCTTTAGATTAAATGTAAGTTATTAGTAATAGCTCAAATGAACCTCTTTGAAATCATTAGCAAACATCAGTGCATTCTGCAGTGCTTCATCAGTTCACGTGTATTAACATAGTCAGAAATGTGATTTGATTCATACGTCTTTATATTTGAATGTGCATGAACTGCTGATCTGTTACGCAGTTGCCAATGACTTCGACATGGCAGTTATTTATACCCAGTTGTGATAAACTGTAATATGAGATTATCACACGATGTCTTACCCTGGCAGGCAGCAATAGCAGCATCCACATCAGCTGCGGCGAGCATAGCAGCAACGGCCATTGTTCTGGTTCTGATTAAGCTGCAAAACAGCAAAATACTGAATAAGAGCAACGCACAAAATGCAATACATCAATAAACAATCCCATATTCCCCCATAAATTCAAACATCTAGACTCATGCATCTCGGACCCATCAGCAAGTGCCTGGTTTTCCTCTTATACAGACGCAAGAGAAACATTTACACTAAAGCACTACCGATCGCAAGGCTTTATCATCTATATAGTTATCCTCGGCGTCAAGCCATTCAGTGTCCAAGGTCTCCCGTCTTTAGCCTCTGCATCCACATGCTCCTGATGCTGTCCATTAACACAACATATTCCACAGGCCCTGTCCATGATCCTAAAGTGTTAACAAGTCGACGAGCCTCTGTAGACCGCTGCATCCGCTGCATGGACTCACCTTGCGCTTGTCTAAGGCGAGTGAAAAACCAAAGGAGTTAGTCGAGGTGTGACTAACACTTCTGGGGGTCCCAGCTTATATACCCTCAGCCTCAGCATTTACAGGAATTCGATGCTCAGTAACAGATACTGCATGTGGGTCTACGTTAGGAATAGTGTCGAAAAAATGTGTCCAGTAGTCAAGTTGGGCTATTTTTAGTCTCCCGAGCGATGTTCAGAACCATGTGTGGGACCCTATATATCATGAGGCCCTCCTCCCTCAGCCGGCTCGGGTTAAAGCAGACATCCGCTCCCACCTTATCACGAGTTTGATCAAGATGTTTACTTTTATTCCAGCTTTAATTGGACATTTGTGGACAAAAACCCGTCAGATATCACTGAGCGTGTGTTTGTTTGATTGGGCCGGATCGGGTTTCTCTCCCAGGTTAGAAACTCTGAGAGCTGTGGCGCAATAAATGCCGTCTCGAGGCTGTAAATCATGTCATTGCGTGATAAGAATAATTCGCACACGACATTGAGGGGCTTATTATGATCAATACTGAAACGTTAGCAGGAGTATTGTGTTCATGTCACAGGCTGGATTAGAGATAGTTTTCATATTACTCATTTTATATGGCCTTACATGAAGCATATTGTAGAATCTGAAGATGAAAGCTTCATAACACCCTTCATATTTCTTGTACACTAAATGAATGGCGTAGGATCTACTTTGAAATCATTTGTATTTAGAAATTGCTGGTGTAATACAAAGAAATGGCATTTTCAATGTCTTGAAAAATGTATGGTAATAATCTTTGTTTTATTTACAACTTTAAAACACATTGGTTAATTCATTTTTTTCATAATTGCTAATCTTTGAAATTATTGGAACCATTATTTTCATTTCTTATTTATCCTCTTATTTTTAAATTAATGTGATTTTAATATTATCATTTTATTTATTTTTATTTTTGTAATGTTTGTAGTGCTTTCTTTTTCGTATATTTGGATGTGATTTTCACTTCTAAAATTTAAATTCTGTTTTTATGTCAAACATTTATTTTATTTTATTTTATACTTAATATAGGTGCTTAAAAGGTTCTTCACAGCGATGCCATAGAAGAACCATTTTTGGTTCCACAAAGAACCATTCAGTCAAAGGTTCTTTAAAGAACTCTTTCTTACCTTTTTCTTCTATGGCATCGTGAAGCACCTTTATTTTTAAGAGTGTAGTATTCATTCAGGTGCAACCACCTACAGCACCATAGCATCACGGTAGAAAGTTTTGTATGGGCAAACAGTTTTTTTTCTTCAGAAAATGTACACATGTAGTTCTTTCTAATCTCTTCTTCACCATGCGTTACACACACACACACACACACACAGACAAACTGCTGACATAGACCATCCTCTTTTTCAGTGACTTTCAAAATGATAAATGATAAAAATGTAACAGCAAAAAATAAATAAATAAATAAATAAATAAATCAAACATTCTCCTAAACTTTGTATCATAACAGTTCTTGAATTATATAATGCTTCAGAAGGGGCCAGTGTTTGGAGGAATGTAGGTCTTAGAAACAAAAAAGATGGCAATGCCAAAGTAGCACACACAAAAAAGATGTTTATTCACAGTGACATTTTCATTTTTGAAATCTGAAGTTGCTCTACAGCAACTATCTTATTACAGTACAGTTAATCTGTTCCTCAACAGCTTTTGGCTACTAAACTGGTACTAAATTACTAGTCCCCCCTCTCAGTCTGTACAAAACACAATTATGAACTGTACAATAACACCACAGTGGAAATAAATTTTTATAATAAAAGTACAATAAATACTAGCTGCACTCAAGTTTTGCCAGGTATCGTGTATCGTCTTGTGAGTGTATTTTATTTAATTTTTAAGAGTGTATTTTATTTTATTTTTAAGAGTTTATTTTATTTTATTTTTAAGATTGTATTTTATTTTATTTTATATTATTTTTAAGAGTGTATTTTATTTTATTTTATATTATTTTTAAGAGTGTATTTGATTTTATTTTATTTTTAAGAGTGTATTTGATTTTATTTTATTTTTAAGAGTGTATTTGATTTTATTTTATTTTTAAGAGTGTATTTGATTTATTTTTAAGAGTGTATTTTATTTTATTTTTAAGAGTGTATTTTATTTTATTTTATTTCATTATTTTATTTTATTTTATTTTTTATTGTTGTCATGTCCTGTATTTCATACAATTGAAAAGTATAAAAGATCACATGAGGCAAAGCTGGATAAAAGAATTCCTGTATTTGGAGACTTCATTTTATTGAGCAGTTTCATATATTCTATAATCACTAGTTACAGAAGCAAAGATTGATGCGTTCTCAATTTGCACATTTACTACAAAGACTTGCTAAACATATTTTAATAAGCAACTCACATAAAAAGCAATCACAGATAGGCTAATGCATGCAAATAAATAAGAGAGAATCATGAAATGAAGTTCAGTGAAGACATTCACCACATTTTCATTTCAGCAAGGCGCAGAATTCTGAGAAAAAAAGAAGAAAAGCGAGAAAAACAAGTGAAATGCTGTCCCAAATATTTGAGACTGTTCAGTCAACATTGTCCAATTCATTGATTTCAAATGAAAGTAGTAAAGTAGAAAGTAGTTTTGGAAAGAAATTAAACTTCTACAAAACTAATTTTAACAATATTAAGGAATAAATACAGTAAGCATGATTGTGATCTGTGTTGCTGGTGAGTGTGTGTGTGTGTGTGTGTGTGTGTGTGAGTGTGTGTGAGAGAGTGTGTGTGTGTGTGTGTGTGAGCTTCTACAAAACTAATTTTAACAATATAAGCAGAAATCTTTAGGCCATGTTTCCAAATTCCCAAATGTTAGAATATAATCTACTATAATAGAACACTTCTCAGAAAGAAAGAAAAAAATACATTCTGTAAATATGAAAGTGCGGATGCTTCTCACATGCAAATCTAAGTTCTTTTCTTCACTGCCAGCGTCAGTGAATTCCCAGGAAGTAGAATTGGTCTAATTCTCATTTGTCCAGCTGATTAAGTCAGGAGCCAGACAGTGAAGGAGGAGCCCTGGTTTCTACAGGAGTACGGCTCCCTGGGGCCTATTCTGCAAGGCCTAAGAGCTGATTTGGATTTACCTTGCATGCCAATTTTGCCGTCTCCATCACTGTCTCCAGCTGCCAGGAGAGTGTTGGTCTCGGCCTCTGTGAGCTCTCTGGCCTTCGGGCAGAAGTTCTGGAGGAAGCGTCTGGAGAGGACACACAATCAAAGAACAGCATGCGACAATTCAACTACATATACTAGTGCTACAATCCACGAATAAACAAGGTTTAAAGAGAATGCTTTACTTCAGCTCCTCTTTTTCAATGAATCCGCTCTTGTCCTGGTCCAGGGCCTTGAACACCCTCTCCCCGTCGGAAGCAGCTTTACCTAGCAGGCCCACATGTTCAAAGAACGCCTGGAAGTTGAAAGTCCCTGGGGCTGAAAGACAAAAATATGATAAACAAAATAGAATATGAAATGTCTAGACCTAAATGTAAGATTTATTTGTATTTGGAGTTCATATGAAAGTTCCGTCCATTTCGAATGAACACAAGCTAATAAACCAAATGTGATGCATATTCGGCAGTCATACATACATACATGAAAATAAACAAAAGTTAAACTTTATATATTATATATCATCGGTGATCATGAATATTGCTTGTTCCACAGCTAGCCTTACATTAACATCACTGGAGTACATTTTACAAGAAAATACTATTTCAGTTTTTCTACTTGCAAATTTCAGTTTGTTATTTGCCATTTCTTTATAATTAATTGTGCAATTTACGAGCAATTTCTAAGTGAAAATTGTTTCTAGACCGCTTTTTTTTTTTCAGTGATATTGTAACTATATGTTCATACTTTTAAACTGAATAAATTGTTTTCACAATGAACATGCTTGAATAAATGCATTCAAATGCATAATTACTTAAATCAAATCTAATAGATGCAAATAGTTTATAAACTATGCCATGATTTTTTTGGGGGTGCAGAAATCTTACCAATTTCTTACCTGTTTAATGTATGTTTGACTGATGAATATGCATCACTTATTACAGTAGTTTATGTTAAAACTGTATGGAAATTTCATACATAAGATAAATAAATCTTAAATGTAGGCCTTTTTTTTATTGTATTATTTTATTTTATTTTATTTTAGAATGGAATAGAATGCCAACTGTTTTTCTGGTCTGACTTTGGCATTGATGCCCAATGGACTGCTACTAGTTGCATTAATGCTAACTCAATATGGTTGTATAATAATTTTTAATAAACCCTAAGGTACAAAAGCAAAAACATCTCTGTACCTTATTTACCCCTAAATGCTACATATTACTTTAAAGCTACATAATTAGTCATTTAGAAGTACATATTAGTACCTTTTTATGGGTACCGCTTTGTACCTTTTTTTCGGAGAGTGTAATTTGCATGTGCATGTGATTCAAAAATAGATATTAGATATATTGCATTGGTTTGGATAACATATTTTTGTGTCATTTGTGATGAATAGTTACAGTAAGCATGATTGTGATCTGTGTTGCTGGTGTGTGTGTGTGTGTGAGTGTGTGTGTGTGTGTGTGTGTGTGTGTGTGTGAGAGAGTGTGTGTGTGTGTGTGTGTGAGAGTGTGTGTGTGTGAGAGTGTGTGTGTGTGTGTGT